GGTGTACGTGCTTGAGTTCACTGGCAATGTGTTCCTGGTCGGAAATGCATTGGGCTCTATGGTATAGAGTCTTGATGAGGGAATTCTTCTGGGATGGATGGTGGTGGGAATCTGGTTTTAAGTAAGCATCCGTATGGGTAGCTTTCCTGTAGACAGAGTGGCTCATTGAACCATCAGGTCTCCTTTTTTAATTAGGACATCCAAAAAGGGTAGCTTGCCATCTTTTTCAACTTCCATAGTAAATCTGATGGCTGGGTGTATGGAATTGATGTGGTCGAGGAATTGGCCTAGAGCAGGCCGGCCATGTGGCCAGATGACAAAAGTGTCATCCACGTACCTCTTCCATAAGGTCGGGCGTAGCGTGGCAGTCTGGATGGCGTCAGTCTCAAATTTCTCCATGAAAACGTTGGCTACAACCGGAGATAGGGGGGAGCCCATTGGGGTGCCCTCAGTTTGTTTGTAGAAAGTTCCATTTCAGGTGAAGTATGTGTTGGTTAAGCAGTGTCTCACCAGGGGGGGGGGGGTACAGTAGTATGCAGTCCTTGATGAACCAAGTCTTCAATGATTGCAATGATGTCAGGTACAGGAACTTAGGTGAATAAGGAAACCACATCAAAACTGACAAGCAGGTCGTCTGGGGACAGGGAAATACCCTTGATTGTCGATACCAGGTGAGTAGAGTTTAGTACTGCAGAGGTGGTTTTTCCAGTAAAAGACCGCAGGATTTCAGACAGAAAACGAGCCAGTTTGTAGGTGAGGGAGTTGATAGTAGAGACGATGGGACAAAGGGGTGTATCTTCTTTATGTATCTTTAGTAGGCCATATAATCTTGGTGGCCTGGCCACAGAAGGTTTCAACGAGAACTGTTTAGTTTGATCAATTAATGCTGTTGAATCAGAAATGATTTTGTTGGTTTTAGTAACGAGGCTGTTAGTGGGGTCTCTTCGTATTTTTGTATAGCTGCCATCGTTGAGTAGTTCCTGAATTTTGTTGTTATATTCTATTTTGTCCATGATGACAGTGGCATTGCCCTTGTCGGCTGAGAGGATGACAATGTCATCCCTCTTTTTTAATTGAGAATTCAAAGTGCTCATCTTTGCTGATGTTGCTAGCTGGCATCTTAGCGTTTTTGAGGGTTGCAGCGATTTCAGATCTTGCTACGTCTGCAGTGGTGTGACCCAGGCCCTTGAGTGCCACGTCGATATGGACAATGATATAATTAACTGGTATGTGTCTAGGTGTGACTACAAAGTTTAGTCCTTTAGCTAAAACGGTTTTCAGACCATCAGAAATAGAACTGTTACTGTGATTAATTACGACTTTGTTAACGTTTATCTTTTCGGTGTGTGGGTCCAATTTCTTGTTGGAGAGGCGGTTGAATTTGGAAATCAAATTGTCCTTACATTTGGTCGACATAGTGGCAGCTGAAGAGGCAGTCATATTGTCTACATGTTCCCAATCCGATGTGGACATTGTTGCCGTCAATGATAAGTGTGATTTGTAGAGTGTCTTGTCTAACTGATCTAGTTCGGTGCGCGTAAGTCTGATTTTTTCTGATAGAAGAGCTAAGCTAGTTTTATATAGAATTCGTTTTGCATTAGAAGAAGTTACAGCAGCTGAGGTTAGTGTTAATGCGGTTGGTATTACCTTAGAGTCGCGGCATCTCTTTGGAAAGGTGAGAGACTCGATTAGCTGAGCCTTCTTATCCCAGAGTTTGTTGAAGGATCTCCAGGTTGTGTGGAATCCCTCCCCGTAGAGGCGGTTAAATTTTGTGACTGCAGGGATTCATCTTCTTGGTTCTTTCGGTAGTCACGTAGAATGGAAATAAAATAAAATAATAAAATAAAAAGATGTGGTTCCAGACATACAGTACCCGGGCGTCTACAAACTAAGTTGCCTCTGTGGTAGTAGTTGCATTGGAGAAACCAAACGACATGTCTCGGACCGCATTCGTGAACACAAAGCAGACCTTAAACACGGTAGGACCAACACCTCGGCCGTGGCAGATCACTGTTATAATTCAGTAGGCTCACGTGACATTGACTTCTCCAAGACAGAGGTTCTTTGCAAGCCATCTGGCTACCATGATTCGTTCATGAGGCTATCCACATATACAAACACAAGGACAATTTCAACCGAGAAGATGGATTCTGGCTTAGTAACCATTGAAAAGACGTTATAAACCATTTCGGTTCTTGATTGATTGTATTTTACGGTGACTTTCAGACCGCAGTTCATTTGCTGGCACTACCTCTTAATACCTTTCATACGACGGTCAATGGTATGGTTTATAGCATGTTGTATAATAATAAATAGTATAACAGTGTAATGTTTAACATAATTCATAAGGCAATATATTGTATCGTAATTGTATAGTGAATATACAGCAGTGTCGTATACAGTAGGGTTGGTAGAATAATACATATTGTAATATTACAAGTCTAATATTTTATAGTCTAAAGTATAGGGTAGTGTATAGTAACGCATTGTATAATTCAAGGGTGGGGTTTGTCTATGGCAGTGTATATTAAGGTGTATAGTCATGTAATGTAGAAAAAAGTTTAGTTGGAGACATATAATGCATGTTAGAGCTTACATTGGGCTGTGTATACGATATTATAGAATGTAGTTTAGATTGGAAGGTATAACATTGTAATGTATAGTAATCTAGTTTATAGCATAGTTGTAACGCAACACAGGACAGAGCAGCACATCGTGGCTGTTTCTCTCTCTCCCCCCTCCTCCGTTCCGAGCATAGATGGACTCGTCCGTCTGAACAAAGCTCGTCGCTTTCCATGGTGCTAACGTTAAAAAGAAAAAAAAGAAATCGCCACTTTTTTCAACATAGAATTGTAATGTATAACGACTTATTGTTAGTAGCTCAGCTGATTGGAGAGTATATTGAGTTTATTGATAACATTATATTTTATTTTTTTATCAGTTTACTATATGGTATTCATTATATAGTAGTGTATACCCAGTTACTTTATGTTAATAGCTCAACTTATTGAAGAATATATTGAGTACATTTATTATAATGATGTAGTTTATACTTAGTTCTTTCACATCGGCTTATTGTATATTTGGGTAGTTGCAGTTCTTTAGCGTCAATATACTAAATGCCTCTGTTGATATGTAAAATCTGACTTTAACATAGCTACTTCCATGCCCAGTTACATGCTAATCCCTCACACTAACATCATGCTAATCTCCCAGTTACATGCTAATTTCTGACTTTAACACCGTACTAATCCAACACATTAACACAGCTACTTAAATGCTAAATTATTCTGTTGATATGTAAACTCCTTCGTCAAGGCGCTATGCTCCTCCCATCCAGCTTAAAAGACGCTGCCAAGCTTAGCAGTGTTCATTGAAGTGCTGTCGTCCCGACAGTTCTGTTCCTTCACCTGAAGAAAGGCTACTTGTGTTGTGGCCGAAACATCGTGAGAATTTTATTTGATTATGTTTTATTTGTATTATTTTATTTCCATTCTATGTGACTTTACCGAAAGAACCAAGAAGATGAATCCCTGCAGTCACGAAAGCTTTAAATCGAAATTTGTCTCTTTTTGTTTGCATTTTGACTGCTTGTGTTGTGGTTGTTGCAAACATTATCCCTTGTATAAAGGTGTAAATTTTGGTTGCCAGATAAAAGGGTAAAAACCTATTACTATATCTTGCTACTGGCAAAGGAGGTCTCATAATGAAAATTAATTTCTTTAGAACTACTGTGTGTTTAGTTTGTTGTCCTTCCCCCACACCTCCGATTATCGCGGTTGGCTACGTAAGGTGCGAAAGAAGTTCAACATACATAGATATAGTTGCACATGCTATGGCTCGTCTCCTCTCATTCTGCACACTTATTTTATATTTATTGCACAAATAAAAATAAAATAAATCTAAACAATCAGGAAAAATCTTTGGCCTTTCCCACGCAGTGAAGCGCAAGACTTCCACCATCTATTCGATTGGCGATGGCAAGTGGTTCAGACTAAACTGTCCACTAATGCTTTTGGTGTAATTAAATTGTAAAAAGTACATTGTGAATATTTAGTTCCTTGTTATCAAATGCGAATTACATGTATTCGACGATTATGCCATACACTTCAGGTCAAAACAATTCTCTTTGCATTTCTTCCTACTGGGGCAGAGTGTGGACAGAATCAGAAAATGAAATGCTTTGACCTGCAGTGTGGCGAGTGTGTGAGTTGGTGTTGGAGTGTATTGTTGTGGCCTGTATTGTTGTGATCTGCAGTGTGGCGGGCGTGTGAGTTGGTGAGTGTATTGTGGTGACCTGCATTGTTGTGATCTGCAGTGATTACACTGAGAGTATCAACTTACTAAACTCCAAAACATGGGTTTAATCAGGTGGCCAAAACTTGGATTGAATCCAGGATCTCATCGGTTTGGAGTGAGGGATTGATGGCTCATGTACATTTGCATAAATATTCCATAGACAGTGGGCTTTAAGGTGGCCAGGAGACTGAAATCCAGTAAGTGGGTTCATAGACACTTCTGTGGGAACTTTTGAGTGTTATTCACTTATATTCTTGGAGGTTTTTTGGGGGGTTCTCAAGCCAAACTATCACAAATGGAACCCCACTAAAAAGGTCTTAGGCTCAGCTAGGCTTTTCTCAAATAATGATAGATACGGTTCCACATAAAGCCATTTTATAATTATTGAAACCCTTATGTGCACGCGTGCAGACTTTTTCACATTATGGGTATATTCCCATGTTAAAACTAGGCTACCACACTGAGGAATCTTGACTGAGCCACGAGAAATTCAGCTTCTCATAACCTCTAAGGATCCAGTTTGTCCAACAGACCACACATCTCTCCATATGAATTAAGAACGCCACTGTATTAATCAAGAACGCCGCTGTACTCTATATGTACGCAGAACTTCTTTTGCACTCTATGTAGCCAACCGTGCTAATCGGAGGTGCTCTACCAGTGAGTCACTTAGCCCGGGAGGAGTGTGAAGAGTCACTTACAATTGTCTGTTGTTGGCAATCATCTCAGAAATAATCTGGTTGGTGTACAGTTTTTGATGAGCTTGGGTTGCGCTCTGCTGCACCAACATCGCACTGCAGTCAGCAAAGTTGTCCAGCAACAACCGGACCATCTCCACGTCGCCCCTCTTGCAGGCCTGTTTCATTCACAATACAACACAACACCAAGTAGGGGACACAATTACATCAGAGGGTCAAACAAAACCAAAAAAACGGAACACAAAACCAGTATTAACCGCCACATATCCGGAAACAAAACATAAAGATGTGTTTTTATGCTCTGGAATGAAAACCCAAATGAATTAATGTGGTAACTGGTTAAAAACGGGTCAAATATACAAACATAAAAAACTATAACAAAAAACTTTTTATTTTACCAGGTGAGGCCCACTGAGCTATGTAGCTCTTTTTCAGAAACGACCTGGCCACAAATGACAGCTCAACCAAGTAGCTCATCATGTGGAAATGTATTGCAGTCAAATACTCTACACGCATGTTTCTAAACGTGGAGGGAAAAACCAGAAGACTCAGAGAAAAATCCACACAACCACGGGAAGATTATGCACACATGCAAACTTCAAATATACAGGGTTGGGATCGAACCCACGACCTCCTGTAAAGCAGGGGAGGAAGTTAACATCTCACCATTGCAGCGCCTATATATTGCACTTTGCACCCAAGAGTGACTGACAAGACATTTTATTGAAACTGGAACAACCTGATGAGCATTGAAGTTTTTTGCACAGGTGTCCAACCCAAGCTGGGGACGGCATTATTGGTGACTTAAAGGCATGGGGAAAACCAATGCCGACCAGCCGCACCAGAAAACCCATCGGTTCGGCTCCCTGTCTGTCGTGAACAGATCTTTACATGATCCACATACAAGAGATAAGATGTAGAACAATTGCATGGTGACTACAAATTTGCCCTCTGCCTTTGTGTAAAATAATCATAAAAAATAAATGTTAATTTAATTAAACCACCCATAAAGTCAACAAGTAATGTATGTCATTACATCCTTAACATCTACAATTTGATTTATTTACCCAGGGAAGCCTCACAAAGTCTCCTTTCAGCAGGATCTTGCATTAAAGTGCACCTGAAAGTAGCATAGATAAGGAGTTCACCTATTTATTGCATTCAGCAATCATTATATATGCTGGGGAAGAGACAATGGGTTAGGGTTCCAAATTGTAGCAGTGCGAGGGAAGAAGCAAAAAGTTAGTAGTTTGACCAATGCGTAAGTGGGCAAGTGTGCGAGTGGAGTGGGTGAGTCAGTGTAATGTTGTCACATGCAGTGTGGTGGTTGAACAGTGTGGATGAGATGAAACGGTCAGTGTCAGGTAGACCGTGTCCTCAACACGGGTGGGGGGGATCAACGAGTGAAGTTCACGGGAACAGTAACCATGGTGGTCGCGACAGAAGCATGATAATCTGACATGTTAGGAAGCACATCATATCAGGACGGGTCAAGAACGTTCCAGCGGTGAATGGATATGGAGACTTCACATAGTAAGCGCCCACCTTCGATAAAGCCGTCTCCCCATTGTTTTGCTGGAGGTTCACGCGGGCTCCATTCTCCAGTAGCAAAGCTAAAGTGCTCAGATGATTCTGTCGAGACACCATGCATTGACAGCAGAAATGAAGAGAGGCTCAAACATTAATTAATAAAACATGCCAGTTGATTATCATTACACACACAATGTCTCGATCCAATTTCCAAAACTCTAGATCCCCGCTATGGTAACTTCTCGGCTGCATGGCTTGAAGCTGTGGTAACTTCCCTGCTGCGTGAATTAAAGCCATTGTAACGTCTCTGCTGCATGGATTAAAGCCATGGTAACTTCTCAGCTGCGTGGATTAAAGCCATGATAACTTCTCAGCTGCGTGGATTAAAGCCATGGTAACTTCTCTGCTGCATGGATTAAAGCCATGGTATATTATCGGTTGCATGGATTAAAGCCATGATAACGTCTCGGCTGTGTGGATTAAAACTGTAGTACCTTCTCAGCTGCGTAGATTAAAGCCGTGCTGCCATTTTTCTGCCGTGCATTTACATTGGCCCCACTGCGAATGAGCAACCGGAGGATGTCCAAGTGTCCAAATGCAGCGGCCAGCATCACCAACGTCATGCCGGTCCCGTCCTGTGCACAGCGCAACGTCACCACCACCACCTCCTCACCTGAGACACTCGCCATTTCCGAGGAGCGTCTTGCTCTCGATATTGGGACAATGTTTTTGAGTACACCATACCTATTTTTCGATTTAAAGCTTTCGTGACTGCAAGGATTCATCTTCTTGGTTCTTTCGGTAAAGTCACGTAGAATGAGAATAAAACAATAAAACAAAATAAGACAATAAAATTATCACGACGTTTCGGCCACAACACAAGTAGCCTTCTTCAGGTGAAGGAACAGAACTGTCGGGACGACAGCACTTCAATAAACGCTGCTAAGATTTGCAGCGTCTTTTAAGCTAAGTGGGAGAAGTAAAGCGCCTTGACAAAGGAGTTTACATATAAAACAGCAGAATTTAGCATTGAAATAGCTGTGATAAAGTGTTGGATCAGCAGGGTGTTAAAGTCAGAAATTAGCATGTAACTGGGAGATTAGCATGATGTTGATGTGAGGGATTAGCATGTGACTGGTCACGGAAATAGCTATGTTAAAGTCAAAGTTTACATATCAACAGAGGCATTTAGTATATGGACGCTAAAGGACTGCAACTACCAAACTATCATACAATAAACCGATGTGAAAAAACTAAGTATAAACTACATCAATATAATAAATGTACTCAATATATTCTTCAATAGGTTGAGCTATTAACATAAAGTAACTGGATATACACTACACTATATAATGAATACCATATAGTAAACTGATAAAAAAATAAAATATAAACTACATCAATGTTATCAATAAACTCTATATACTCTCGAATCAGCTGAGCGACTAACAATAAGTCGTTATACATTACAATGCCATAAGGAGAAAAAATGGGTGGCTGTTCCAGACATACAGTACCCGGGCGTTAATTAAGAACCGAAATGGTTTAAAACATCTTTCTAATGGTTACTAAGCCAGAATCCATCTTCTCGGTTGAAATTCTCTCTGTGCTTGTATATGTGGATGGCCTCATGAACGAATCTCTCATGGTAGCCGGATGGCTTGCAGAGAACCTCCGTCTTGGAGAAGTCAATGTCATGTGAGCCCACTGAATTATAACAGTGATCTGCCACGGCAGAGGAGTTCGTTATACCGTGTTTCAAGTCTGCTTTATGTTCGCGGATGCGGTCCGAGATGTCGTTTGGTTTCTCCAATGTAGCTACTACCACAGAGGCACTTTAGTTTGTAAACGCCCGGGTACTGTATGTCTGGAACAGCCACCCATTTTTTCTCCTTATGGCATTGTAATGTATAACCACTTATTGTTAGTCGCTCAGCTGATTCGAGAGTATATAGAGTTTATTGATAACATTGATGTAGTTTATATTTTATTAGTTTACCATATGGTATTCATTATATAGTGTAGTGTATACCCAGTTACTTTATGTTATTGAGTACATTTATTATATTGATGTAGTTTATACTTAGTTTTTTCACATCGGTTTATTGTATGATAGTTGGGTAGTTGCAGTGCTTTAGCGTCCATATACTAAATGCCTCTGTTGATATGTAAACTTTGACTTTAACATAGCTATTTCCGTGACCAGTCACATGCTAATCCCTCACATTAACATCATGATAATCTCCCAGTTACATGCTAATTTCTGACTTTAACACCCTGCTGATCCAACACTTTATCACAGCTATTTCAATGCTAAATTCTCCTGTTTGATATGTAAACTCCTTTGCCAAGGCGCTTTACTTCTCCTACCTAGCTTAAAAGACGCTGCAAATTTTAGCAGCGTTCATTGAAGCGCTGTCGTCCCGACAGTTCTGTTCCTTCACCTGAAGAAGGCTACTTCTGTTGTGGCCGAAACGTCATGAGAATTTTATTATTTTATTTCCATTCTACGTGACTTTACCGAAAGAAACTTCGTGAAAATTTTATTGTCTTATTTTGTTTCATTGTTTCATTCTCATTCTACGTGACTTTACCGAAAGAACCAAGAAGATACACCATACCTGTTAACCACTTATCAGTGCCTACCTTATTACAAACCAATTCAGACCTTATTGGTCACCCTGTGACCTTGTAAAAATCTCAACGTTCATCCTACAAAGTCCCATCAGAAAAGAGAAACACAAATAGAAAAAAAAAAATGTTTTGCCCGTATTTAAACGGCTGTATGCCGTATAGACCTGAAAACTCAATTTCCCTGTACAAAAATATGGCGTAAACAGTATGAGTTGACAGGTATGGTACACTCAAACTTAGCCAATAGCGCGTTTTCCCAAGGCGGATTTGACAATTTGTGCCAAATTTATTGAGGTAAAGTTCGCCGATCGCCCCCCTGTGGCCGGACCATTTGCAGATGACCGTGAGATTCCTGTATAAAATACATCATTAACAAGTACTGTACTCTGACTGCACTGCTTGCAATGATGTTGCCATGGAAGATAACACACGCCATCATCATTATCATCCATAGTAAGTCGGAGTATTGTGTGCTCCATTTAAACTCCATATTTACTGTACATGTCATTAACCTTATCTTTATTTTCAAGTTTACTTTTACGTATATAGTACACGATATTATTTTGTAGAGTAACATAAAACAAAAATGGGGAAGAGTGTTTCAGTACGAACCGTGAATCAAACCCTATTTCCCACATGTCTTTGAGTTTGCATATTTGCCGATTGCGGCTATTTTGAAAAATGTAACCCCTGCGACGGGCAAGGTTTTGGTGTATCGTTTTCAGGCATAGTGGAACATCCTAATTAGATTGAGCGGTTGCATTGCACAGGAAGAAATGTGCATCAAAACCATGGATACCGACAAAGCTATTGGAACAGGTGCCTAAACATGCGATTTTGTACCTTAGCAAAAACTGGGATCAGGTGGCAGGAACTGCTTTGTACCAAGATCTGATACCGGTATTGTATTGAACTTTACTTGCATACTGGAGAGGTTCAATAGAACTACACTGAGAAATATTTTGGATTTGGCCTTTTTGAAAGGTGGCAACGCCAGCCCGGATGTAGGTCACAAACCTCATGGTCGACTTGGTGGGGCTGCGTGGTGAGTGCGGCCCGCACAGTGTGCATGTCGCCAGTGCGCACAGCCTCGCGCAACTCCCCCATGCCTAGTCACCACCGCACAAAACACACACATCACTTACCACACACATCACTCACCACACACAACCGCCGTTCGCCACTAAATGGTGGCGACATCATCATAGCGCTTGTGTCATGCGATGTGCACACTTTGAGGCCACGTGAAGTGTCGAAGGCTCGCTGACAGGAGGTCATGGAACAGACCAAGGTGCTATGGGTTAACTGACTGAAATGACTGGCAGATGCACCAACTGTGCTCCCACCTGTGCCAACTTGCTGTGTTTTAGCACCCTGCTTGTTATTGTGAGTGTCGCTCCTCCACCCTCCATTGTTGCTGAAACTATAGATATGCTTCCTTCCCAAACCTTCATCTTGATACTGCTGGTACCAGTCATCGGCAAGCACAATCAGCTCCACATCCTTATGTATTACATCAGTCCATCTCTTCTCTCGCCCATGCCATGCCCGTTAATCCTCATGTATTTGGCCAAACAGAAGGTGCTTGCCATGCAGGTTACATAACCCACCCAACGCAACTTAACTTGCCAGAGGAGCAGACTGATGGGACTGTCCTGATCTTTCAAGGATAGGTGAGATTCTTACACAATCCAGTCTGGTTAAACCCAGGATAGGTCTTAGGTAGGCCAGCCTGAATGTTTAAAACACACACCCCACCCAACACACACCACAGCACCGCTTAGTCGAGTTACTCGCACACCACCGCTCAGTAGTTCAGACCCCACACACACTGTACATAGCCAACCGTGTTAATCGGAGATGCGGAGGAAGGACAATCAATTTAACACAAAAAGCAGTTCTAAAGACATTAGTCATCAACCTAAATTTTTGCACACACTCAGCATCAGGAATAAGGCCTGCCCTACACTGTAGTAAAATTCTACACGGTTTAAGGGCAGCAAAAATAAACAAATGGAAGCATGTTGGCTGAAGAGGCAATTCAACTTAATGTGAAGCACATGCTGGGATTACTGCTTTGTGCTGCTGTTGAAGATGTGTCTCTATGTGTCTGTTACCAGGTTACTTGTAAATGACCCCAGCAAAGATCCCCGTATGGCCATACAGACTGGGGGCAAATTAGATCAGCGACCACCTATTAAGGCTGGCACGGCGCATGAGTGGCCAACACTACATTTGGCCGCCTTTGTCTCCCCATTGGTGATGTTTACACACCGCACCAAGTACTCGTTTGAAGTTGAATTGATAATGGTAAGACCCAGGACCGGTTCAGATATTTCATCACCGATGTTGGCCACGGGCGACAATTGAACTCAGGTCGCTGGGTTCATACCGCAGCACGCTAACCACTGCTCACCGTGGACAATATGTACGCACGCACACACCGCGGGGGGACCGGGCTGTGGGGACACTGTGCAGGTGGCAGTTACCGACTACTCCGCTGGCGTCGCACGGCGCCATCGCAGCGGCATTCACACACTCCTCGAAAAGCCGTCGCCTCAGCTGCTCCAGGCTGAGGCAGTCAAAGGTCATCTCCTCGCGGGGCCGGGCCTTTGGCTCGCACGGGCGCATCTGGAGGTCCCCGATGACATCGTTGAGTAGACTGGAGTCCAACGAGCGTGGCTTTGAGTCAGCGGGCAGCTGCTGCTGCTTCGCTGCCGTGGGGACAGCCTTCAGCGCTTGCGTTTTGGTGTCGCAGGTCACTCCGTCTAAAGGCAGCGGCGATGGCATCGCTGTCCCCGAGGGAGGGTTTTCTCCCAGGTTTTTAAGGATGGACTCCTCGGAAGAGGACATCTCATCGTTATGAATCAAGTCGAGGTTAAGTGACTCCTGAAGCTTCTGCAGTGAACTTCCACAAGCTCCAAACAAAACTTTATTTTCGTCCGAAGAGTTTTTTCCCCCCAGGGTTTCATCTGCTAGTTCCTGCTGAGTGACGTCCGCTTCCATTTCACAAACCGCATCAGCTGAGCTCACCTTCTTGCTCTTCTTCGGCTCAATGGAATATTGTGCTTTGTGTTTGTGTTTATGCTTGTGTCTCTTTTTGTGCAATTCAGGATCACTCTCAACAGAGTTGGTAACATCTGGACTCATTTTTCTTTTTTTCGGTTTTATTTTCCCGTCTTCAAGGTTTTCTTTATTTGGTAGACATTTCGAGTCGGCCAATTTTTCTCCACACAGACTCTTCACAGGCACATTGCTGACTCCAGCCTGCACACTCTCATACTCGCTCGGCACTGAGATATTAGGTTTTTCACTTGGCTTGTTTCCTTCAACAGCAGATAATTTCAACCTATACACCAGCACTACCAGTTTTCTGCATCCAACTATTAGTTTTTGTGTTTTTTTAGATTTTGATTGCATATATTTGGGACTTACACCTGAATATTCAGAAGCTGGTGACATCAAACCAACAACTTGATTTTGAAGCCCTCCTTCACAAACGGTCTCCTGGCTATACACGTTCGGCATCCCGCCACTGTGATGAATGACACTCCCAGTGTCAGAGGTCACAGAGCCCTCCCAATCTAGTTCCACCTTGACCGAGACATTCCTCACGCCAGGGAGGTTGTTGTTGCGTTGTTTATCGCTTTGGTAGGATTTTAAATACTCTTCATTATCAGACAATCTTTCTATTTTCACAACAGCACAGGTAGCTTCGATTTCCATGGCTTTCTTGGAATTGGCATTGTAGTTAGAGTGATGCATTGATGAGAAATCACTTTTTTCCTCCTCAGGGCTTGGACAAAGCCTTTCAAGTTGCTTCTCCCTCACCACTGTGGACTTCTTTGCTGGTTCTGCATTCTCGCAATGCTTCCGGGAGTCGCCCTCTGGCTGTGACATATGATGGCGGTGCTTGGATTTGCTGCGTTTCTCCGATTTGTGGCGGCGCTCCGACTTGTGGTGGTGCTTCTGCGCCGATTTGGACTTGCTGGACGAAGTTTGGTCTGTGCTGCTCTGCTCGTCTCTCGACTTGGCTTTCTCGCCACTCTTTTCTTTCTTCTTCTTCTTCTTCCTTTTCTTCTGCTGATGAGATTTGCATGGCGATGCCAAAGTTTCATTTTTTTGCTCAGATTTATTTTCTTTCTTATGGCTCAATGTCACAGAGTCGTTGGCGGAGTGCAACTTTAGGGCCTGGAAAAATACAAGAACTTCATAAAGATACCATTGTAAAGTCAACAGGAAATACAACACATGACACACACACCCACGAGACTTGCACCAATAATTTACAAGATTAATTACCCTTAAACACTCACATCTAAAACAAACTTTACTTTTATAAACTGAAAAATACAAAATATTATTGCCAAATTATAAAGAAGTTAGATTTTGGTTCAAACGATATTAACCTAGGCATGAGGTACTTTCCTTTTGGAGTTACCGATGGGTTAGTTTGCAATATCCACCACTGTAAAATCTCCCACGAAAAGACTTTACGATAGTGGGACTCTTGCTATGTTATATTCATCATTGTAACTCCATGGGCTCCACAACAAGTCCCACTGCTGTAATATATTCTAATGTTGCCAGTGATTAACCTCGGTAAAAGTTTGTCAATTTGTCTGACTACCCGTTTAATATTGTTGATACTTTTTCTTCAAGTCTTAGTGTGGCTCTTCCAATTTTAGTAAAAAAAGACCGATATTACTTCTAAATGTTTTACTTGCACCTTTTTTATGACAGCGTGGATGGATGACTACATAAAATGCTTTTTCATCTATATATATAAAAGGGACATTTGCGAATGTGTCTGTTCGAAATGTTTAGCATACAGTGAAACCTTGGATTGCGAGTAACTTGGTCTGCGAGTGTTTTGCAAGACGAGCAAAAATTTTAAATAAATAATTTTATAAACGAGCGATATCTTGCAATACAAGCAGTGCGTACAGTATACGCTTTGTCTGCCAAGCGTCACGTGATCACAACTGAGGCAATGGTTTTTCTCTCTCGTTGCGGGATTGTGGGTAATCATCTCCCATGCTCGGTCTCAGTTGGCGTGCCTCACTTGTATAGTCAACATCCGTGCGAGCGTATACTGTTTACTACAGTATAGTTTTGTACACACGTGTGTGTGCGTAAAGCATTTTTTTTATTTTGTGTCCAAGTGTAGTGACTGTTCTTTAGTAACTGTACTGCAAGTGAAAGTCGTCCTACACAAAAACCCTCCTCCTCTCTCTCGTCTCCCTTACACCAGCCACGATTAAATGTAACTAATACATTTGATTACTTTATATTAAATTTAAATAATATAAATATAAAAAGGTATTTTGTATTAATCATTTTTATATGAACACAGTATTTTTGGGTTGTGGAACGAATCATCTGAGTTTCCATTATTTCTTAGGGGGAAAATCGCTTTGATATACGAGTGCTTTGGATTATGAGCACGTTTCCGGAACGAATTATGCTCGCAATCCAAGGTTTCACTGTACTTCCCGACATGCAACAAACTTGAAATTTGGCATGTGGGTAGCTTCCAGACTGTACACAATGCAAAAAGTATAAAAATAGACTGTTGTATTTTGGGGGTGGGGGGGGCGCAATAATGCATATATTTTGTACGGCAAGTGAGCGGCGACGTCACATCTGTGATGTCATCCGCATGCGGCAGCGTTACGCAGTGCTAATATCACGCATCCCCCTCACCCTCCGCGTAGGCCGTGTATTCCGCACAAATGCGCGGCGTAGCTGTCTTGATTTTCTAAGTCAACGCTACTATTTTCACCCCCCCCCCCGCAAGCCCTGTTTGTATGAAGCAGCAAAAACTCTCGAACGCTGAGCTCTGACGTCATGAAATTTGCACAGCTTATGCTGTCTGGAATTTCTAAGGGAACGTGACAATTTTCAGCTCTCACGTCATTCCCTTCCCGAGTTGCCTGGTTAAGATTCAATTTCCTTGAGTGAAAAACATCCAATTTAGTTAAATTCATTTGTTTCGGATTTTTTCTTTCTTGCAAGCATAACACTTTTTCAGGTTTTTCCACTGAAATATAAGGGAATATTAAATTAATCCAAGAAATCCAAGTCCCGGGCGAAGCCGGGTAGTAAAGCTAGTAGTCTACAAAGGGCAGGCACAATGGTAATTGACATTCATTGGTCTAATATTCTTGGTTCTTTCGGTAAAGTCACGTAGAAGGAAAATAATAAAAAGAAAACATTTTAATAAAACTCTCACGACGTTTCAGCCACAACGCAAGCAGCAGGTGAAGAAACAGCTGTTGGAAAGACAGCGTCCTAATGGGATGCTAAACTCATTAGGATGCTGTCTTTCCGACAGCTCTGTTTCTTCACCTGAGGATGGCTGCTTGCGTTGTGGCCGAAACGTCGTGAGAATTTTATTTTATGTTTCATTTTTATTATTTCCCTTCTACGTGACTTTACCGAAATAACCAAGAACATGAATTCCTGCAGTCACGAAAGCTTTAAATTGAAATTCATTGGTCTGTCCAAAGAATCAGATTTTATTCTGCATGTGGTTGCTGGTGGAGACACGTTTATGAAACCCTGCTCGCCCCCATGTTTCTTTTTCCTCTAGGTTTGTTCATTATTCTGCTCTCAATGATTTTCGAGAACAAGGTAAATTCGTGTTATAGTAGGCTGAAGAGGCTATCGTCATTCTAGTCGGATGTCTCTTTTTTGCATGATTGGGGGCTTCTCAAATGATTCAGGCGTCATCAAGAGAATATCTGATTGAGGCATTATACCCATGATTGAGGTATAGCATTTTATATCTCTGTAAACATTCCATAAACAATTCTGACAACTTTGTTCCAGAAGTGGTCATGCCTCTTTGATGTCGACAGTTATACCAAGTAGCCCAGCAGATTTCCTGTTTTTTTATACTGCGAAAGGCTGAGTTGCCTTCAAGTGTAAATTTAATATGCAATTTCTAAATGTAAGGAAAGCGTATTTTTCAAAGAGTGTTCATTTTGTATACGCAAATACTTTTGTCAAATTAACTGATATTGATTTCATAGGTAAAGCACCTTTATTTTTTTTATTTGGGCATATACCAGTACATTTGTTTAAGTACAATGACATACTCTTTGGTTCTTTCGGTAAAGTCACGTAGGTAGAAAAAATAATAGATCATGACGTTTCGATCGCAACACAAGCAACCGTCTTCAGGTGAAAAAAGTGCAGCACCCAGTTCTCCCCTCGCTCTACGCGATGGAATTCACCGTAAAGCAGCAGTCAGGGTGATTGACGATCCAGCAATCACACTCACTCCAATCAGTTGATCACCGGTGGTCAGCCGCTTCTTCATCACTCTTCTATTGCTACTACCGTGGTTACTGTTCCTCCACGCATGTTGAGAACGTGGTCTCCCCCATAATGACTGTTTTGTCTCATCCACAATGCGTGTGTTCAACCGCAATACTGCAGATCACAACTCAACTCAACCACCCAGCTGCCACACCTGCAGGTCAAAACACTTATCTTTCTGCTTCTTCCCTTGCACTAATCCACGTGAGAATATCGTCCCATCGTTTATTCCCTTCACACCAAGTTCTTACAATTAAACAAATATATGTTAACGCTTATCTATTACAACTTTGTGCCGTTTGTTTCTGGCCATTTTACGTTTTTGGGCCTGTTCTCAAAAACTGTAATGAAGCAATGTCTCCCATAAGTCAGTACAAGGTGACATATGTTGTGTTCTGAGTACTCTGCTCATGAAAAAAATAATAGGCTTTACCCTTTCTGACAATAATACATCAATTAAATCTGCATTAACCACACGTACTTGCGGAAAAAGATGCAAACATGCTCTGATAATATAAGCAGTCTTTGAAACTGATTGGCCTACACCAGAGACAGCGTTTTTTTATGGCCTTGTCTCACCAGTGTTAGACCAGAGAACGCCTAAAGGCGAACAGCACAACGGCAATGCAAGTACTGTATTAATAGCTCGGGTTGAACAATTATATCTATGGGACCTTTTGATACTGTCCAAAAGGTCCCATAGATACCACTGCTCGTCCATGCGGAGCGACGGGCGAGGCGTTGTGTCGCACCTTTCTGTTGTGGTAGAACTGCTGCAGGAGCTCTTCGCAGCCTCCTAGGTTCTCCTTGGGTTCCCACGTATCCTCCTCGGGCGAGTAGCCCCGCCAGCGAACGCGAAACTGCTGCTCGCCCTGTCACACGGCCCATCGCACAAGTCACCCAAGAGCACAATGAAACCCTCATCAAAACGATGACACCGCACGCACGCAACCCTGATCGTGTCAATAATCACACCGTTGCAACCGAAACTACGGACCATATATTAAACCCACACGTACAGAGATGACATGGAGACTCATAAGAGATACAGACTCAGAGATGCATTGAGATAGACCCATATTAAGAGAACCACAGCCTTACGTAGAGGTACATTCAATAGTTACCACTGTAATGAGAATATGGCCATGCGACCCAAACTATGAACCATGTAGTAAACCTACACGTACAAAGATAACAGACTCGTAAGAGATACAGACTCGGAGATGCATTGAGATAGAGAGACCCATATTAAGAGAACCATAGCCTCACACAAAGGTACATTAAATAGGTGCTACACGTAGCGAGACTGTGGCCATGCCACCTAAATTATGGACCACATAGTAAAACTACTGCACTTTATAGAAATAGGTTTTAGCCTTTTAACTGGCACAAAAACTCACACCTTTGCACTTTAGTCTGCAATCCTTCAACGGAGGATCAGCAAAACGGCACTCTCTCTCTCTGCTGAAACCCACTCAGCAGACCAAACAAAACTTAAAACTAAACTTTGTTTTATTGTACCAGGTAAGGGCCCCGCTGAGCTATATATAGTAGCTATTTTTCAGAAGCATACCGGCGACAAAAGAATAGCTTAACGGAAGTGGGCTCATCGCGTGGAAATACATACATGTGGAGGAGGGGGAAACCGGAGAAAACTCCAACGATACAGCAGGCGTCGGGGTGTTGGTGGCGCGTACCTCGAAGGTCCTGGTGTCCACGATGCTCTCCACCTCGTACTCTTCCTTCTCCTCCTCTTCACCATCCTCGTCCACATCCCGCGCAGACTCCGCTATGGCGGCGTCATCATCGCCGCCGCCGCCGCTGCTGCCAGAGTCCAAGAGAGCGGCCATCGCGACACCCCCCCCCGCAAGCCCTCGCCTACGGCCAATCAACGGCTCGGTTCTATCGTGGGACGATGTTCGGCTCGGCCAATCGGCGCCTCCGTTGTATTTCGGTTTTTTTTCCCACGTGGGGAGCGGTGGCGCAGCAGTTAGCGCGGCGGCGGCGAGTCGAGTTCCATTGCTCGCTCACGGCTACCAAAGCGGTAGCGACGATTATCTGAACCGGTCCCTGGCCCCCCGAAGTAGGTCGACTCAGCCTCAGATGAGTGCTTGGTGCGTATATCTAAACGTCGCCACTCCATAGCTGTCAACCCAGACGGTTTACCCCGTATTCTTGTACAGGGAAATTGAGCTTTCAGGTCCATACGGCGTATAGCCGTTTCAATACAGGATTTGTAGGATGAACGTTGATATTTATAGGGGCACGGGGTGACCAATAAGGTCTGAATTGGTCTGCAATAAGGTCGGCACTGCTTAGTTCTTGACAGGTATTATATACAGATCCATAGATACCCATAGAGATACATAGGTGTATAGCACACCTAGATTTAAAGCTTTCGTGACTGCAAGTCATGTATGTAGACTTTACCGAAAAAAACAATGAGTAATTTTATGCAGTCACGAAAGCTGTAATACTTTATTATCACACTTCTACGGGGAAGTTACTGTTGTAATTATGTGTAAGATGTGCCCTTTTTTGAGCTGCCGTTTTGTATTTACAAGAGGTGGTCATTTTTTGAGCTGCCGTTTTGTATTTACAAGAGGTGGTCCTTTTTTGAGCTGCCGTTTTGTATTTACAAGAGGTGGTCATTTTTTGAGCTGCCGTTTTGTATTTACAAGAGGTGGTCCTTTTTTGAGCTGCCGTTTTGTACGTGTAAGATGTGCGTTTTTGAGCTGCCGCTCTCGCTCTGGCCCCTCCCCCCCTCCAACCGTATTTCCTATTTAAGTTTCTGTTCATCCCTCCGACCCCCCCTCTCTCTCTGCCTCCCTGTCCGTCTTTCGTCCCTCCTTACCTCTTGGTGGACTTGTATATGTATTTCTACTGACCGTGTACCTCGTATTTTTCATTCTATCTACGCTGGTATGTGCAATCCAAAGGTTGAACACGAAATTTAACACTCCTCTGAAATTCGTGGTCCGCCAGGAAGTGTCTGTGTTGTTGGCCTGACTGGATGTGCTTGACAGGTATGAGTCTCTGAGCCTCTTCAACCGAACACAGCATGATGCTTCGGGGCCGTCGATAAATGACGTCACGCGATTTTTTACGATTTTTGACCCCCCCCCCCCTCAAATATGACGTTACAAAGCTCTGCCCCCCCCAAAAAAAATATAAAACATGCTTAAAATCGCTTTAAACTATTGTCATTGTAGTGCGTATTTAATGTGGCGCTGCACTCTGATGTAGGAGAAAACAATAAAAGTCTATTTAATTAAGTAGAACGTCTACATTTATTTAAAGTTGCGCATTTTGATGTGACGTCACATTTCTCACCCCCCCCCCCTCTCGTCACACATCGTCACAAATGTCTGACCCCCCCCCCCAGGTGCGTGACGTCATTTATGGACGGCCCCTTCACCCATACGTACAGATTCCCGAGTGCAGGGGTCTGCATGCTTTTAACGAAGAACCATTTATTTTTGTTCGTTTAGAGAGACGAGTGGAGCCGGAGGTACATTTTTTTGGAAAATTGCAGATTTTTTATAATGCTTGTTCCTTATTTTAAATTTAATCTCATTTAAATCGAAGAGTAGCTTTGCTGACCTTTGATCTGTTGAGTAATAAAGGATTTTTGCATGTTTTATACTTGATGTCAGGTAAAAAAAAAGACAATTCTTCAACATAGACCCACATTGCAGAGCTACTCCATTTGTGAGAAAATCCACTTTTTTTTACAGACGCTCGTTATGTGCCATGCCTCCCCTGTAATCCGCAATTTTAGAGTGGATCAACGGAGTCACATGGCTCTTTCCCCCCAATAACTCGCGGCACACCACGATGGTCCCAACACAATCTGGATGAACCTGTGCGTAGCGCCGCCGACTGGAGGTACCCCCCCCCCCCCCCCCACATCGATGCGGATTATTACCATACCAGATCAGTGCCTACCTTATGACAGACCAATTCAGACCTTATTGGTAACCCCTTGCCCTTATAAATCTCAAAGAGAATCCTACAAAGTCCCATCACAAGGCAAGACACACAAAACATAGATTTGTTTTTCCCGTATTGAAACGGCTGTACACCATATGGACCTGAAAACTCTAATTTCCCTGTACAAGAATACGGGGTAAACCATATGGGCTGACAGGTATGGTTGATGTGTAGGGGTTTTTTTGGCAAGAAAACACATAAATTCACTTTCAGTTTGCACGTCTCTGCGGATATTTTGTGGCAGAATGTTCGGCAAGGGGGGTAGCGAATTATTTCTTCTTTGTTCTGAACTTATGTCGTATGTCAGTAACATTTTCAACTGTATAGTGACTTATATGGAGTCAATATGGTGCTTAGCGCCAGCTACTGTCACAAGAGTGGAAATGTACGTCTTGAGTCTCTCTCTGGCACCAGAGTGGATATGGCATGGAAGTGGGCCCTAGGGGGCATAGTTCTGGTGAGGGTCGGAGAGAGAGCAAGTGATGACGTGATACTCTGTGTGAACCAAGAGGGCATGTGGCCGGGGCAGGGTAGCAAGGGGGTCGAAAAGGGGGCTTGAGGGACACGTGATATGGGCCAGAGCCGTCTTGTAGGATCTAGAAGGGGGCGTGGCCGAGAGCGGAGCCAGGCCACGCTCAGGAGCGTAAAGGGGCAGTCCCGAGAGGGTTCTGGGCTCTCTTTTGGAATGGAACCTGTTGATGCAACGTATCTTCGATCCTCAGTCCTCGGTCTTCGATGTTACGCTCAGCATCGTGGGTCAGGCAGTGTGTTACTGACTGACCCGGTTATGTAGTTACCCCGTTCTGGTCTAGTTAACCGTGTAGTTATCACCTAAACGTTTATGTAGTTAGCCCTGTTGGGTCGTTTAATAAACGTATTGCCTCCAACTCCAGTGTGTGCCTCCATATAACACACTACATGTGTAGTGACATCGCTGGATGTCACCATGCTGTGGGTGCAGTGACGGCCCTATAGGACACGGTGTGTGGGTGCCGACCAAAGGGGAAGGTCGTGTGAGGCCATGGCACTCTGGTTGACCCGGGAGGACACGTGACCGGTTAAGATGACAGAGGGGCCCCCAATAGGGGGCTAGGGGGGTCACGTGATTGGGACCCAGGTCCTTCCCGATGGTTCTGGAAGGTGGACGTGGCTAAGGGTGGAGCTGGCCACGGCACAGAGAATATAAGCCGAGTCCCGAGAGGGACCGGGATTGTTCATCCTGGGAAAATAACCCTTTGTCTACGATCTCCGTTCTACGAATCTTCCAGTACGTGGACCCTGGCAGATGCTGTTGGTCCCAGGTCCATAGTAACAGTTACGTGGTAACTAGTGTAGTTAGCCGGGTGGTCACCACCCAAAGTTATTATTCTGTTAAGGGGAAGTTACCCCATGTGTTGGAACTAAATAAATGCGCTGCCTCCGAAGTCTATGTCTGCGACTCAGTTGAACCCACTACATATGTATCGAATGTTCTCATAACCCCTTATCAGTTCCTACCTCATAGACCAATTCAGACCTTATTGGTCACCCCGTGCCCTTATAAATCTCAACGTTCATCCTACAAAGTCCCATCACAAGAGAGAAACACAAATAAACATACATTTTCTGCCCATATTAAAACGGCTGTATGCCGTATGTAGCTGAAAACTCAATTTCTCTGCACAAGAATACGGTATGTGTTACGACGGTATGGGCACATTTACTGTTCAATGCAGAGCAGCACAGTGGTGCTAAGTGCTGTCAAGTTCATGGTAAAATACATACATTGCCATGAAGGGGATGGTACACCACTCAAGAGTGTTACAGTGTTTAAATCATACCTTTGTTCGTCCCCAAACTTGAAACCAACACACAAATAGCCGTGATTAAGCTATACTTGATGCAACAACGATGCAATTGGTTGGAATGATGGTAGCAAGCGATGTGCTGATGTGTATGTGGCGATTGCGTGGGTGTTTTCTCATCCATGGCGTTTCTACTCTTCTGTCTTCCCCTGTGTACAAACGCCCAACAATTCGGTGCAAAACCCATACTAGAGGAAGGAGCTCTGTAGACTTGTTTAGGTTTTTCCTGAGTTTTTATTTATTTTAAACTGGTGGTGCAGTCGTGCATCAACAAAAAAACTGGTGGTGCAGTAGTACAGCAATAAAAAAGACAATTTCCAACAACAAAAAACCTCATTACATACCTGTCAAACTATATGGTTTACCCGTATTAATGTACAGGGAAATTGAGTTTTCAGGTCTATACGGCGTACAGCCGTTTCAATACGGGCAAAAAAAATGTCTTTCTCCCTTTTTATGGGACTTTGTAGGATGAACGTTGAGATTTATAAGGGCACGGAGTGACCAATAAGATCTGAATTGGTCTGTAATAAGGTAGCACTGATAAGGGGTTGACAGGTATGTCATTATTTTAGTTTTTATTTCAGGGTCTTTAAGCACGAACGTTTGAAGTTCCTTCCCAATGCTGCACGATATTAAATTCTCCGGGCGTGCCACTCGCAGCTTCGTTCCTGGTGACAAACTCTTCCTCTTCCCATGGCCGTCGCCATCCCCTCCACCCTCCCCAGCTGTGTCAGCACCCAGACACTTCCTACTCGAGGACGTCGCCGTACTTGGTGCGTCCGGTGGCCGTCTCATGTTCAGAACCCGCGGACGGGGACGCTCCCTCCGGCCGCCCCACGGCTGAGGGAGAAACATACCGAGGGGACGGAGGAAATGGCGCAAAACGGTGAATTACAAACGTTTCACGCTGTCGTTGCTGCTGCTGCATCCTTTTGGCAACATCTCATCGGTTCTCAACATTCCCCGTATCGCGCCTTACACCCCCTCCCCAAACCGAGGCCGCTCGTTCTATATACTGAGATAATCAAGATGCATGGGAAAAAACACAGGTTTCCAACAATACTACTAGTAGTACAAAATATCATTAACGGCATTGCGGAGAACCGCAATTTAATAAATAAGCAGACAATCCGGTACAGTCTCTGCAGCATGAACAAAAGCAGTGATTATAAATGTGCTATGATCATCGCCGTTACCATTTGTCAGATCTTGTGGCAGCTCTCCCTTCTCAAAGCGAATCCAGTTTTCTCCACACTTTCCCACCTCCCTGCGGGTGATGCTGTAACTGACGGCCGAGCTGACCACTGCACGAGGCACGGAAACATGACGGAGAGCGGTCATTGCCATGGCGCAGGGCTCGACCCCAAACCCATTGGACCCACTAGGGCTATTCAGGCAGTGTGGTGAGAGCATTTTAATCCCAGACCATGGTCCTTGGGCTTCCTTCTCAAACTACGCTTCCAAGCACATGCTTAGAGCCACATGCTTAGTGCCACACTGGGCCACAGACTCAGAGCCACACAGAGCTGGGACCAATTCCAGAACCAGATGTGAGGTCAACGCACGACACGCATGTTCTGCCTCTGTATCACTCGCTCAATTCAACCTCCCAGCTGTTGTAGAGGTTCAAATTACCAAACAGACTTTTAACACGAGTCAAATCTACCCATGCATACACTTAACATTGTTTAAAATAAACTACTAGTTTTTAGGGCCTCAAATTACTGAAGTAAAAGAATTACACCGTTCAGCACAGGACTGAATGAACGCCCTCACCTTCACCTAAAACACAGCTTTATTATTCGGCGCTAGACAAACAGTATGCCTTTTTAGTTACATTTGATTTACTTTAGTTTCATATATATGTACCTCACATTTAATTTTCTTAGACTTCTCGGCCTCAGGAATGTAGGACAGCTGAATTGCTTGCTTTGTGCTCACCAGAACAAGCCTTCCCACAGTGCAATATGCCAGCAACATTTGATTTTACTTCCAATATATTAGTTTATTTAGTAGTAACACATGTTTATTATTCAAGGGTCTGTCTGTTACTCAATACTCCTTAGGTAACTATTCACATGCCAATTTAAAAGGTCATGACAATTTTTTGTATTCATTTAGGCACTGTGGTGCAAAGTGCAGTCTCCAACTATACTCCACACTCTGGCCTCTCTATGTACTATGAAGGAGGGCCAATGCCTGAAACGTCACCTATTGTACCTTTCAAGACCACAATGATATTGACAAATGGGTTTTAGTTTTTTTGCAGTATCGAATAGCCCCGTGAAACAACCCCCCGTTTAAAGGTGCAGGCTTAAAAGGAAGGGCAATAATGAATGGAGGGGAGGTAGTATGAACAGCAATGGTGGACAGTGAGCGAGGGTATGCGCTGGAGTGAGAGAAGCGGCGGTGGGCGCTGGGCGTGGAGAGGGGCGGCCACGGGGATGGGCGCTGACGCAAGGACACGGGGACGGGCACCGACAAGAAGGGCGGTCGCAGGACGGGTGCTGTCATGAGAGGGGTGGCCACGGGGATGGGCGCTGCCACAAGAGGGATGGCCATGGGGACGGGCGCTGTCACATGACGGCATGCGGGACAGTGAAGCCGAGAGGCGGGGGGTGGAGGTTGGTACACTAGGTTAGTTAACAGTGCTAATTATAGACACTACAGTGAGGGAAAAAAGTATTTGATCCCCTGCTGATTTTGTACGTTTGTCCACTGACGAAGAAATGATCAGTCTAGAATTTTAATGGTAGGTTTATTTGAACAGTGAGAGACAGAATAACAACAATAAAAATTCAGAAAAACGCATGTCAAAAATGTTTTAAATTGATTTGCATTTTAATGAGGGAAAAAAGTATTTGACCCCTCTGCAAAACATGACTTAGTACTTGGTGGCAAAACCCTTATTGGCAATCACAGAGGTCAGACGTTTCTTGGAGTTGGCCACTAGGTTTGCACACATCTCAGGAGGGATTTGATCCCACTTCTCTTTGCAGATCTTCTACAAGTCATTAAGGTTTCGAGGCTGACGTTTGGCAACTCGAACCTTCAGCTCCCTCCACAGATTTTCTATGAGATTAAGGTATGGAGACTGGCTAGGCCACTCCAGGACCTTAATGTGCTTCTTCTTGAGCCACTCCTTTGTTGCCTTGGCCGTGTGTTTTGGGTCATTGTCATGCTGGAATACCCATCCACGACCCATTTTCAATGCCCTGGCTGAGGGAAGGAGGTTCTCACCCAAGATTTGACGGTACATGGCCCCGTCCATCGTCCCTTTGATGCGGTGAAGTTGTCCTGTCCCCTTAGCAGAAAAACACCCCCAAAGCATAATGTTTCCACCTCCATGTTTGACGGTGGGGATGGTGTTCTTGGGGTCATAGGCAGCATTCCTCCTCCTCCAAACACAGCGAGTTGAGTTGATGCCAAAGAGCTCCATTTTGGTCTCATCTGACCACAACACTTTCACCCAGTTGTCCTCTGAATCATTCAGATGTTCATTGGCAAACTTCAGACGGGCATGTATATGTGCTTTCTTGAGCAAGGGGACCTTGCGGGCGCTGCAGGATTTCAGTCCTTCACGGCGTAGTGTGTTACCAATTGTTTTATGGGTGACTATGGTCCCAGCTGCCTTGAGATCATTGACAAGATCCTCCCGTGTAGTTCTGGGCTGATTCCTCACCGTTCTCATGATCATTGCAACTCCACAAGGTGAGATTTTGCATGGAGCCCCAGGCCGAGGGAGATTGACAGTTCTTTTGTGTTTCTTCCATTTGCGAATAATCACACCAACTGTTGTTACCTTCTCACCAAGCTGCTTGGCAATGGTCTTGTAGCCCATTCCAGCCTTGTGTAGGTCTACAATCCTTTCCCTGACATCCTTGGAGAGCTCTTTGGTCTTGGCCATGGTGGAGAGTTTGGAATCTGATTTATTGATTGCTTCTGTGGACAGGTGTCTTTTATACAGGTAACAAACTGAGATTAGGAGCACTCCCTTTAAGAGTGTGCTCCTAATCTCAGCTCATTACCTGTATAAAAGACACCTGGGAGCCAGATATCTTTCCGATTGAGAGGGGGTCAAATACTTATTTCCCTCATTAAAATGCAAATAAATTTATAACATTTTTGACATGCGTTTTTCTGGATTTTTTTGTTGTTATTCTGTCTCTCACTGTTTAAATAAACCTACCATTAAAATTATAGACTGATCATTTCTTTGTCAGTGGGCAAAGGTACAAAATCAGGAGTTTCCATTTCTGTGACCAGTCACAAGCTAATCACTCAGCTATTTCAATGCTAAATTCTCCTGTTTGATTCATACTAGGTGCCTCTGTGGATGTGTAGGCTTTCACTTTAACATAGCCATTTCTGTAACCAGTCACAAGCTAATCACTCAGCTATTTCAATGCTAAATTCTCCTGTTTGATTTGTACTAGGTGCCTCTGTGGATGTGTAGGCTTTGACTTTAACATAGCTATTTCTATGACCAGTCACAAGCTAATCACTCAGTTATTTCAATGCTAAATTATCCTGTTTGATTTGTACTAGGTGCCTCTGTGGATGTGTAGGCTTTGACTTTAACATAGCTATTTCTATGACCAGTCACAAGCTAATCACTCAGCTATTTCAATGCTAAATTCTCCTGTTTTTATATGTAAACCCCTTTGTCAAGGTGCCTCACTTCTCTAACCAGCTTAAAAGACGCTACGAATCTTAACAACGTTCATTGAAGCTCTGTCGTCCCGACAGGTCTGTTCCTTTCACCTGAAGAAGGCCACTTGTGTTGTGGCCAAAACGTCGTGAGAATTTTATTGTGTTATTTATTTTATTTTATTCTCATTCTACGTGACTTTACCGAAAGAACCAAAGAAGATGTCTAATGTGGTTATGGGGGTGAGAAGGTAAGGGCTGAAAAGGTGGAAAAAGGTGGAAAAATGTGAAGCACCCTACTCCGGTGCAGTTGTAGTTCCATCTTGTTACAATGCTGTGCTATAACATAGCCCGACGCATGGCCGTGCTGTGTGCTGTGATGAAGAATGCAGTGGCTGTGTGTCACATACACACGGAAGTTAAGATGTTCCACTGGAAGCCGTAGGGCAGGCGCTTTTTCAGCAGGCTCTGGAGAAAAAGCATCCCCGTGGTGCCTACACGTAACAATAATAATGCTTTCAGTTTAACACGTAGCAGGCTTTCACGACAAATATTATCCATAAGAGGTATTTTGGGTTATGTCGCGTAAATATAAATGTGTCGTTAAACCCGCAACCACCTGACACAGCCAATTAGTAAGGTTTGTCACGTAAACAAAACATGCCAATTCGTTACTAGTTCAGCACACCGGTGTGTTGAAGAGTAAACCCACAACATTTACAATTCAACTACGACGTTTTGATGGTAATTACAACCAGTCTCATCAGGCGACAGTCAGAGTTATGGTGAAATCCTCCAGTTTCGGTCTTAAATAATACTTACATTTTAGAGAGTGTCATTCATGCAAATAGCATCCCATAACGCTGTACATTAATTATATATCAGGACAAAATCTCATATACAGCCGCGACCAAGCAAATGAAAACCCTACTACTACCAAGCAAATTCTAAAATGAATAAACAAATGAATAAATGGCACCAAAAGAAACAAACAACAAAATAAGTTATCACAACAAAGAAATTAGACCATTAGGTCTACACATCCCAGACCACAATCCCAACTTCCTTCTGTAATGGGCACAAACCAAGCATGAACTAAGCAATGGATTTCCGCCACTTTTGTGTGCAAAATATCCTTGCGGTCAGCACTCTGGCCATAGCGTAAGTACGAGACAGTTGGGATTGTCAAACAATACCTGGTAACCGTTTTCAGAATCAGTTACCAATTCTGAAAGTCAGTAACTGGAAATTTAATCCAGCGGAATATTCGTAATGCGATGAATGACACGTGCGAATATACAAACGGTACAGCGGCAGGACTAGGGATAAATAATGTGGGTAAATAAAAGGTTAAATTGCAGCCATACAATAGCTTACGCCGCTGCTGCAAGGGCCTCCACTAGAGGGAGCTTGAGAGGGTACTTGGCCTACTCTTCCACACTGACGAGCCGTGTTGGAAAGCGGTGTGCGTACCAACACTTTACCCCACCACACGCGACCTGCCGATCAACTAAAAGTCCAGTTATGGTTATTGATGGAGACGGAGACATCTTTATATGTGCGGCAAACCGGTTACCGGTTTTGTAGCGTATTCTTTACGTGTTGCTGCTAATAAAATGTAACTTTCCACAATCCTACGTCGGGACTTTAAGCTTCCTGCAGTGGCCAATGGCTCGTGTGTGTGAAGGGAATTTCTGAAATGGACCGTATTATGTGCTCTTAAAGAGGCTCGAAATCGTTTTTTGAAAGAGTTCCTCACTTTATAAAAGTCGCGTGAGAAGGTGCAACACAAATCCCTGTAAAATACAAAATAATAATAGTGTTCTTTGGGTCTTTCGGTAAAGCCACGTAGATATAAAAAAAATAACAATATCATGACGTTTCGATCGCAACACAAGCAATCGTCTTCAGGATATGACGTCAGCAAGTGATGACGATTGCTTGTGTTTCGATCAAAACGTCGATATATTGTTATTATTTTTTCTATCTACGTGGCTTTACCGAAAGACCCAAAGAATATGAATTCCTGCAGTCACGAAAGCTTTAAGTCAGGAAATAATACAGTGGTCTCTCGGTTTACGATGCCATTGATTAACGATCTGTCTTCCATAGGGTCCCATTGTTTGTATTAACTCTACATTTTTGATTAACGATGTTTACAATATCACGCAAATGCCAATTTCGGCCAATCAGAGCACTCCTAAGTGGACTCAGTAGACCTAAGCCACCCATCTTCTTAGCCGAAGGTAAGCCATCTTTCTACGCTCTATTTATGCACCTTGTTATGCTTTATTTATTCATGATGTATCCATGTTTTCTATTTATTCTTATAACGTTTATTTATTAAAATTGCGTGTTTAAATATTATAAACCATGTTTTTAGGGTGAAAAAGGTCAACTTTTGATCGTCTTGGAAGAAATTAAGCCTTTAACATGTATTTCCGATATTCAATCAACAATAATTTCAATTAACGATGGTTTTCGTGGAACCAATTAATATTGTTAACTGATGGACCACTGTAATTCCTATTGAAACAATGTAGTTGAGTTGAGCATCCTTAATAAATCCATGGCATATCTGCCTTTTTCAAAGAATAAACCTCAAGCTAATTTAATCAGCTATGATTGATCAACTGCTGGGTGAAGGCCTCCCCAACCCATGACCATCTGTTATGGTCCTGCGATGTAACGATCCTTCTGGCACCTGAACAAGAGCGAATTTCATCACTCCATCTCCACGGTGAACATCCTGTCGGGTGTGTTCTCTCACTCGGCTGGCATTGAACCATCACGCGTCAACCACCGGCCATGCCTTCTCGAGCGTGTCCTGCCCAAGCACACTTATGTACAGCATTAGTTAAAATGACATCTCTCATTTGTGTTTGTTCTACGATCCGTGTGCTACTCTTTCTGTCTCTCAGTGGCCTACCCAATCTAACTTATTATTCTTCACAAATTCTTTGGTGCACAAAGCACAAATAAAAAAAAAACTCAACACGTTCATCAATAACACTGTGGCGTTCAAATAATATATAGCAGGTCAAGTTTTGGGGCAGTGGCCCTGGCTTTATTTCCTGAAGAGCCAAACACATATTAGGTGAGTCAGGCCAATTGTTCCCCATCCCTTTCTCGAGAAGCATAGACATTCTATAATGTAATTGCCACTATATAAAATATCTGTACTGGAAGTGTCCCAAAACGACTGTGTAAATTAGCTCCAGGTAAAGAGATGGGCCACATGGCGAACCCATTGTTGAGACGTGGGGCCTTACCCAGCACAAGCACCGCGGTCCCTTTCATCAGTGCGAACGAGGTGCAGGCAGAGTATGACTGCAGACCCTGGGTCCAATAACAATGATAAAAAAAGTGATGACAAGGTTAAGAACTGCATTGTAGTCGTATAAATGTACGTGCGTATGTTGAACTTATTTTGCGCCGTACGTAGCCAACCGTGCTAATAAGAGACGCGGGAAATAACAACACCGTGCTTGCACGCTGGAGGACGTGGCTGATAAGTGCTATAGATTTGATAAGGCGCTGGGTGGAACATGGTGCATCCTGGATGGGGGGGGGGGCTGATAGCCGAGGCAGACTTGGGAGTCTGGAGACTGAAGGAAAAACGAGGCCACATGATGGGAGACGGCTAGGGTAGGTCTTGGAGATCGTGTGTCTACTGTCCAATAGGACAATGCTGGTTTTGATGAGTTATGACACATTAAACATGTATGGCCTCAAAAAAGTTTATCCGAAGACAATCACAACCAACTATCTTGAAGCTTGTTTAGGAGATTCATCCTACGACCAATAACGCTTTTTCGTCTATATTACAAGAGGCTCTGCATTGGGATATTTGGCCAATTCCATCGTAAGGAGCATTATGTGTGGATGAAACTGAAAACCCTGGAGAAAATCCACCAGGTATATGAGGGGATAAGACTAAAATCTTCTCACAGACCAGTTCATGAACCCACTTTCTGTACTGGCAGCTTCTGGCCACCTCGCAGCTCAGTGACTTCACACATCTGTGCGATCCACCAACCTTTGCCTCCAAAGCGTTGGATCACACGACGCCCGGCTCAATGGCTAAACTAATTCCTGCCAAGGGAAGGTAAAATTTCCATAATTTAGGGCTATCAATAACGATCCCCTCCGATTGCTCGTTTTAAGATACTTAACATACTTTTAATAGTTCTTACTACCTCTCATTCTACATTTGAACTCAGTGCATTTATTCTCATGTTCACAGCATTATGCAGTAGCTGTGTAGGTATGTATGTTGAACTTATTTCGCACCGTACATAGCCAACCGTGCTAATCGGAGGTGCGGGCTCTCTCCCCTTCTGCGATCCAGTTCCCTCAAGCAAAGGAGCAAATGCATAAGTGAACAACGCGGCTCCTTTGCCAAACCAACACAATTTTTTTTAATATTTGTTCACACATCCTATTGGCCTCACGATCATTTGGGAGTGGACAAATAAATGAGCATAGGTTCAATTGAAGCAAACTCTGGACCGGTTTCAACATGCATTGTCTCATCAGCAGAGTCAGGCTTGCTTGAACCAGTTGTGTCTTGCTTGGGTTAATAAAGCACACTCACACTCTGCGTAGTTCTGCTGTAGAGCAGAGAGACATTCTCAGCATGAGTCATCACTTCCCACACGTGCTATGCTTTGTTGATGTTGGACCGCTTTAACCCAGGGATTGGTGGATAATCCGGGGATGGGAGCCCTGAGCTGCCAGTTCTAGTTTTAAAACAGTTGCTGAGCATAGGCCCAAAACATAAATTAGCCACCAACAAACGGCAGGATCAAGGTTTAAATTTTATCACGCGTTCAGGTGGCTTTTTTTAATTGAAAAACATAACAGCTTGGGAAACGAGATGGCAGGGAATTCCAGAGTGGAGCCGTACAAGTGGAGAAGCAGGAAGAGAAATCTGGGCGAGTGGAAGTCGGGGTGAGTGGAAGTGGGGGTGTGTGGAAGTGGGGGTGATTGGAAGTGGGGGGAGTGCAAGTGGGGGTGAGTGCAAGTGGGGGGAGTGCAAGTGGGGGTGAGTGCAAGTGGGGGTGAGTGCAAGTGGGGGTGAGTGGAAGTGGGGTGAGTGGAAGTGGGGGGAGTGCAAGTGGGGGTGAGTGGAAGTGGGGGGAGTGCAAGTGGGGGTGAGTAGAAGTGGGGGGAGTGCAAGTGGGGGTGAGTGGAAGTGCGGGTGAGTGGGAGTGAGGGTGAGTGGGAGTGAGGGTGAGTGGGAGTGAGTGGAAATGGGGGTGAGTGAGTGAGTGAGTGGAAGTGAGGGTGAGTGAGTGAGTGAGTGAAAGTGAGGGTGAGTGAGTGAGTGGAAGTGAGGGTGAGTGAGTGGAAGTGAGGGTGAGTGAGTGAGTGGAAGTGAGGGTGAGTGAGTGAGTGGAAGTGAGGGTGAGTGAGTGAGTGGAAGTGAGGGTGAGTGAGTGGACGTGAGAGTGAGTGAGTGTTAGTGCGGGTGAGTGAGTGAGTGTTAGTGCGGGTGAGTGAGTTGAAGTGAGGATGAGTGAGTGTTAGTGCGGGTGAGTGAGTGGAAGTGCGGGTGAGTAAGTGAGTGGAAGTGCGGGTGAGTGAGTGAGTGGAAGTGAGGGTGAGTGAGTGAGTGGAAGTGAGGGTGAGTGAGTGGAAGTGAGGGTGAGTAAGTGGAAGTGCAGGTGAGTGAGTGAGTGGAAGTGCGGGTGAGTGAGTGGAAGTGAGCGTGAGTGAGTGTTAGTGCTTTTTTTATTGAAAAACATAACAGCTTGGGAAACGAGATGGCAGGGAATTCCAGAGGGGAGCCGTACAAGTGGAAAAGCAGGAAGAGAAATCTGGGCGAGTGGAAGTCGGTGAGTGGAAGTCGGGGTGAGTGGAAGTAGGGGTGATTGGAAGTGGGGGTGAGTGGAAGTGGGGGGAGTGCAAGTGGGGGTGAGTGCAAGTGGGGGGAGTGGAAGTGGGGGGAGTGGAAGTGGGGGGAGTGCAAGTGGGGGTGAGTGGAAGTGGGGGGAGTGGAAGTGGGGGTGAGTGCAAGTGGGGGTGAGTGCAAGTGGGGGTGAGTGGAAGTGGGGGGAGTGGAAGTGGGGGGAGTGCAAGTGGGGGGAGTGCAAGTGGGGGGAGTGCAAGTGGGGGTGAGTAGAAGTGGGGGGAGTGCAAGTGGGGGTGAGTGAAAGTGCGGGTGAGTGGGAGTGAGGGTGAGTGGGAGTGAGGGTGAGTGGGAGTGGGGGTGAGTGGAAGTGGGGGTGAGTGAGTGGAAGTGAGGGTGAGTGAGTGAGTGGAAGTGAGGGTGAGTGAGTGAGTGTTAGTGCGGGTGAGTGAGTGGAAGTGAGGGTGAGTGAGTGGAAGTGCGGGTGAGTGAGTGAGTGAGTGGAAGTGCGGGTGAGTGAGTGAGTGAGTGGAAGTGCGGGTGAGTGAGTGAGTGGAAGTGAGGGTGAGTGAGTGAGTGAGTGGAAGTGAGGGTGAGTGAGTGGAAGTGAGGGTGAGTGAGTGGAAGTGAGGGTGAGTGAGTGAGTGAGTGGACGTGAGGGTGAGTGAGTGGAAGTGCGGGTGAGTGAGTGAGTGGAAGTGCGGGTGAGTGAGTGGAAGTGAGGGTGAGTGAGTGAGTGGACGTGAGAGTGAGTGAGTGTTAGTGCGGGTGAGTGAGTGTTAGTGCGGGTGAGTGAGTGGAAGTTAGGATGAGTGAGTGAGTGTTAGTGCGGGTGAGTGAGTGGAAGTGCGGGTGAGTGGAAGTGAGAGTGAGTGTTAGTGCGGGTGAGTGAGTGGAAGTGAGGATGAGTAAGTGAGTAGAAGTGCGGGTGAGTGAGTGAGTGAGTGGAAGTGAGGGTGAGTGAGTGAGTGGAAGTGAGGGTGAGTGAGTGGAAGTGAGGGTGAGTAAGTGGAAGTGCAGGTGAGTGAGTGAGTGTTAGTGCGGGTGAGTGAGTGGAAGTGAGGGTGAGTGAGTGGAAGTGCGGGTGAGTGAGTGAGTGAGTGGAAGTGAGGGTGAGTGAGTGGAAGTGAGGGTGAGTGAGTGTTAGTGCGGGTGAGTGAGTGGAAGTGAGGGTGAGTGAGTGTTAGTGTGGGTGAGTGATTGTAAGTGCGGGTGAGTGAGTGAGTGTTAGTGCGGGTGAGTGAGTGGAAGTGCGGGTGAGTGAGTGAGTGAGTGGAAGTGAGGGTGAGTGAGTGAGTGTTAGTGCGGGTGAGTGAGTGGAAGTGAGGATGAGTAAGTGAGTGGAAGTGCGGGTGAATGAGTGGAAGTGAGGATGAGTGAGTGAGTGGAAGTGAGCGTGAGTGAGTGGAAGTGAGGGTGAGTGAGTGAGTGAATGGAAGTGCGGGTGAGTGAGTGTTAGTGCGGGTGAGTGAGTGGAAGTGAGGGTGAGCGAGTGAGTGAGTGGAAGTGCGGGTGAGTGAGTGAGTGAGTGGAAGTGAGGGTGAGTGAGTGGAAGTGAAGGTGAGTGAGTGAGTGGAAGTGAGGGTGAGTGAGTGAATGGAAGTGAGAGTGAGTGAATGGAAGTGCGGGTGAGTGAGTGTTAGTGCGGGTGAGTGAGTGGAAGTGAGGGTGAGTGAGTGAGTGGAAGTGCGGGTGACTGAGTGTTAGTGCGGGTGAGTGAGTGGAAGTGAGGGTGAGCGAGTGAGTGAGTGGAAGTGCGGGTGAGTGAGTGAGTGAGTGGAAGTGAGGGTGAGTGAGTGGAAGTGAAGGTGAGTGAGTGAGTGGAAGTGAGGGTGAGTGAGTGGAAGTGAGGGTGAGTGAGTGGAAGTGAGGGTGAGTGAGTGAGTAGAAGTGAGGGTGAGTGAGTGGAAGTGAGGGTGAGTGAGTGGAAGTGAGGATGAGTGAGTGAGTGTTAGTGCGGGTGAGTGAGTGGAGGTGAGGATGAGTGAGTGGAAGTGCGGGTAAGTGAGTGAGTGGAAGTGAGGGTGAGTGAGTGTTAGTGCGGGTGAGTGAGTGAGTGGAAGTGAGGGTGAGTGGGTGGAAGTGAGGGTGAGTGAGTGGAAGTGCCGGTGAGTGAGTGGAAGTGAGCGTGAGTGAGTGTTAGTGCGGGTGAGTGAGTGGAAGTGAGGGTGAGTGAGTGGAAGTGAGGGTGAGTGAGTGGAAGTGAGCGTGAGTGAGTGTTAGTGCGGGTGAGTGAGTGTTAGTGCCGGTGAGTGAGTGGAAGTGCCGGTGAGTGAGTGGAAGTGAGTGAGTGAGTGGAAGTGCCGGTGAGTGAGTGGAAGTGAGTGAGTGAGTGGAAGTGCCGGTGAGTAAGTGGAGGTGAGGTGAGTGAGTGGAAGTGCCGGTGAGCGAGTGTTAGTGAGGGTGAGTGAGTGAGTGGAAGTGAGGTGAGTGAGTGAGTGGAAGTGCCGGTGAGTGAGTGTTAGTGAGGGTGAGTGAGTGGAAGTGCCGGTGAGTGAGTGTTAGTGAGGGTGAGTGAGTGGAAGTGAGGTGAGTGAGTGTTAGTGCGGGTGAGTGGAAATGTGAGCAGTTAGCGCGCTGCGCTACGAACTCGGGGTGATCACTGCTCGTGTGTACGACTGTAAACGAACGCCAGAGGCTCACGGAGAACCAACAAAGCAGCGAATAACCAACGAACGGTCCTAGCAGTGGTATTAATTGTTATTATTACTACGAAACAACAAATACTACGACCGCGGCAGTGGGCGGGAAGTCGCTATATCCATGCACCTCCCAGAGCCGTTCGCAGCCCTGCAGGCAGGGGTATAGGGACTTCCCGCCCGGCGCGCATCAGTTTGGCCCTTACCGGGTGCCTTTCTGCGACGGAGTCGTCCACTCGAGCCAGTCCGATGTTCACCATCGCTCAGTGACGACGGTAGCCAGTGAAGTTGTCACCTGCGCCGCCACGAGTACTGTCAGTACTGCTGGTGCTGTTGTCGGTACTGCCCTGGGGGAGTGTGAGACGCGCACACAGCTTCAACCGCTCGCTCGGCCGCTGCCGGTAGCCGTGACGGGAGGGAAGGAGGCACGTGGGAGGCGCGGAGACGATGCCAACACAGAGGAGTTTCCTCCAAACTTCGGAGGCAGAGTTCAGAGAAAGCAAATACCAAATGTATTTAAAGTCGAGGAGGAATCCGATTATATACGCAGCTCTATGTCGCAAGATGTCCAGTAGGGGCACGGGGTCAGGAAGTTACAACAAAAAAAACAATTGTGTATGGCAATCCTGAACCTGTACGTTCAGGAGCTAAATGTAAATGTTCGAGGTCTGCTCGCCACGAAAAGGCTCCGGGAAGAGAGTTCGTAGAGTTTTGTTGTTCCTCCATCGAATGAGCGCAGACTACAGTGGACTTACAATATTTGGGCGCCACAGTGGCTAGGAGATGTTAACTACCTCGCCCGGTATACTGCAGGTCGTGAGTTCGATCTCGACCCTGACACTTGCTGTATATTTGGAGTTTGCGTGTCTCTCTCCCCGTGGTCGCGTGGATTTGTTTCCTTCCACGTTTAAAATCAACGTGCGTTTGGAGTACATTTCCACATTATGAGCCACTTCGTTGAGCTATCAAATGTGATGGCCAGGTCGCTTCTGAAAATAACTATATAGCTCAGTGGGCCTTACCTGGTAAAAGAAAAATAGTTTAGTTTAAACTCTGACATTTCCCTGACAGTACAAGAGAGTGATAAACCTCGTAGCTCTCATTTACCCAGAGCTTTCATTCTGATATATGCAGGACCCCATACCTCGATCTGTGCGACATCTCCCTCACTCCAGCTATCGCGGAGGCCATCATCCACCGCCAACATGACACCTCGTCTTAATGACTGCAAACGCCATCCTCGACAGCCGCCTCTCCGGAGAGATGCAGACTGCAAAGGAGTTTAAACGTTTTAGTTTTACATTACCAACAACAACCTCCTACCCATCAATGAAGACCTCGACAGTATCTCCTCGCTGCCAACGCATGCCCCGGATCCCCCATCCTGCGGTTTGTCCCGTCACCGTCATTGACTCTCAGCCAGATCCGGAAGAACACTGGCGAACAGAGGCGAATTTCCAGAATAAACACCTCATTCAAGACCTATAAACATTCATCACACCTCCTGGCTTTGACTTTACTTCTCTAAGAACATTGTCTATAACCATCGACTGCATCGGAACATCCACAGGTGGATGCGCACATTGCCTTCATGATTGGAAAATTAAAAACAAGCCACAGTGTGCCATTGTGGCCATGCAATCTGTTGTTGAATATGTGGGTTATGAAATTTTGATGAAAATAATGAAAATTAAATGAAATTTGCATAATTTGTTCGAAATGATGTTAATTTGTGTAATTGTGCATATAAATTATGCTAATTCGAGATATAATCGTATTCATTTATGCGAGTGGGCGTGGTTATGATAATGCAGGTCGTTATGATAATCGGGCCCAGCCTCGGTGACGAAGGTTGGTTATCAATTGGAGCAATTCAATTAATCGTATGCGGTTATGCAGGTGTTGTGAGCATGAATAAGGGAGTCAACTCGGCTCCGTTGTTTAACTCCGTATTATCAATAAGGATACGATTATTCCCGCTTTAACATTTATTGATTATGTGTGTTAGTGTGCTTATGATAGGTCCACCAAGGTTCAGATCTCAATCGCAGAACAATTCGTATGCGGAATTTCATAACGAATCACACACAACTCTTCTGCTTTAATCAATTTAATTTTCTAGCTAAACTTTAATTTTTGGATAATATGGGAACTCTCAATCTCGGAAATCAACACAGCATTAACACGGTAACTATCACGATTGCGTTGTTTCACTTCAATAACGGCACCTGTGGTTAATTCCCGACGCGTAACGCAATTAATCGGTTGTTGAGAGAGGGATTAAAACATGCAGAACTATTCTACCAAAACCTCTACTCTATCATATGCAAATTTGTATACTTGAATTGTTACACAACACGGCACTCGGTCATTGATCATACGCGACCCTTAATGCAAATTCTTGTCACGTTGTTAACCAGTAGGACGATTGATTATTATGCAACGCTGTTCATATGAAAAGACACTCAAACCATTATTATTCCTAAAGGCACAAATATGCGTTCATTGATTCGTCATGTTCATTCATGGATACATCAGCAAGATTATGCAATTAAAAACGAACGACTCAATTACTCCCAAGTGACTGTATTCACGTAACTCGATGGCAACAACGTTTTCCTTTATCAGCTAATAGTTGACGCACTTATCATGAGTCTTCTTGTATGTGTTAATGCGTGAGCGTTGTTGATCTCCTGGCGTTAATTCTTTGCGTAAAACAGACACCAAGGTTGGACATCCCTTGTATCAAAAATGTGTTTGTTCCCGGCAGAGCGGTGGGGGGGTGTGAGGGTGAGAGTGTGAGAGAGGGGGGGGGCATACGAACGCGGCTGCCACAGTTTCTGTCCACAGCTGGCTGGAAGAGTCGACACGACGCTCGCCGTCGTCGCGCGATGATGGGTGTTGAGTGCGGGCACGCTGCCCTCTCCTGGTGCTGCTCGAACGCTCTCGGCGCGCGGTGGCGCGAACAGTGGCGCGCCATGGTGGCGCCACTGCTGGCGCTGGTGGCGCGCTCTGAAGTGGCGCGCAGTGGTGGCGCTGGTGGCCCGAACAGTGGCGCGCGCTGGCGCTGACACTCTTGCTGGTCAGGCTCTTTCCGTTGCTGGATGAGCCAAGTCGCATGCGCTCTCTCTGTGGAGATGCTGACACTTTGTTGGCAGCTGGCCAAGCTTTTCCGCTGCTGGATGGCTGCTGCACGCTCTTTCTGTTGAGATGCCCGAGCGCTCTCAGCTGATTCGTTGGCAGCAGCAGGCTTTCTTCACTGCTGTAGTAGCTGAGTCGGCACAACGCTTGGCCGCTGGTGCGTTGACTCTTTTGTTTGTTTGCGCTGGACGCTCTGCTTTTCCGCTGCTGGATGAGCCAAGTTGCACGCGCTCTCTCTGTAGAGATGCTCGAGCGCTCTCAGCGCTGATTCGCTGACAGCCGGCTGCACTGCTGGATGATTGCTGCACGCTCTTGCTTGGCGGCGCTGGCCACGCTTTTCTGGAAGCTGGCCCTTGATGTAGGAATAAAGTTTCGAGTGATACTTCGTTCCTTGCCCTGAACTCACTTTCATTGATACATCACGACTCAGCGATCCTCGCTACTCAGCGAGGCTCGCGCTCCTTGGAGCCAGTCGTTCGCTGCGACTGCTCGTGTCTTGTCGAACTTCCGGAACTCTTGATCTGTTTTGACTGAACTTTTGAAATGATGGTTGGACCGTTATATTAAAAAAAATTCTCCGCTCTGCGCAGTGAAAGGGTGGGGGGGGGCGTGGCCTGTGTGTGTGTGTGTACGTGCGTGTGTGTGGCATTCCACAAGCCATCTGCGTTATACGATCCTGGGGGGCGGAGGGGGCGACCCTCTTTGTAACAAGCCATTCCTCACTAGGGTGTTAAAAAATTTTCTCGTGCTGCGGGGAGAGACAAAGGCGGCCGGGATCTCTTTCTCTCTCTGTCCAACCCTTGAGTGAGAGAAAACAGATACCCTTTTTCACCGTCCTTCCGTGGCAGTCTGGAGATTTCGCAGATAACCTCTCTGCCCTCTCTTGGAGTTTATTATTCTATACATTTATGGCCTTTTTACGATTTCCATCTGTGTTTGCGTGTTTTTGGGTTTGTGTGTTTTATGCATTATATGCTATATATAACGGCAAATATTATTGTTTATCTCAATTTTGGAAAAGGCATATATCCAACACATCCAAACTATTGACCATAATAAACCACTATTGTCTGCGCTTCTTGAATAGCGGAATAGAAAAATAGCATGAACTCTCTCATTAAAGTCCTCTTGGCGTTTATCTCCTGAACATTTTGCTGCTGCTATCATAGGCCTGTGTGTCTCGAGAGACAATTGTTTTGCACTTTACGAGGTCAGCTGTAGGGTTTGCAGCACCTAGAATGACTTAGTAGGCCAATCGTTGAGTGGCAATCCTTGCCACAGCAATTGCAAGTGAATGCGGTGGCAGCTCCAGAGATTTTTGATTTAAAGCTTTCGTGACTGCAGTGATTCATATTATTGGTTCTTTCGGTAAAATCACGTAGAAGGGAAACAATAGAATAATAAAAATATAAAACAATAAAATTCTCACAACTTTTCGACTGCAACACAAGCAATCATCATCAGGTGTGAAAACCACAGCAAGAAAATTTGAAAAAAGTGGCGTTTTTTTAATAGCACCACGGAGAGCGATTTGGCAGTAATTCAGATGGACGAGCCCATCTATGTTCGGAAAAGAGGAGGGGGGAGACGAAAAGAATGGATGCGGTCTGAAAGCCACCGTAAGCGTGAACAATCAATTAAGACCCGAAATGGTTTATCAAATCCTTCCAATGATTGCTAATCCAGAATCCATCTTCTCGGTTGAAATTGCCTCTGTGTTTGTATATGTGGATAGTCTCAAATTTCTTCATGAAAATGTTGGCTACAACCGGAGATAGGGGGGAGCCCATTGGGATGCCCTCAGTTTGTTTGTAGAAAGTTCCATTCCAAGTGAAGTATGTATTGGTTAAGCAGTGTCTCACCAGGGGGGGGGGCGTGTACCTCAGTGTTTAGTCCTTGATCAACCAAGTCTTCAATGATTGCGATGGTGTCAGGTACAGGAACTTAGGTGAATAAGGAAACTACATCAAAACTGACAAGCAGGTCGTCTGGGGACAGGGAAATACCCTTGATTGTCGATACCAGGTGAGTAGAATTTTGTACTGTTCCTGGTCGGAGATGCCCAATGCATCTCCGACCAGGAACACATTGCCAGTGAACTCAAGCACGTACACCATGCTCTTAAGGCTCTGACTACACAATCCGCAAAGCTATCACTCCAACTTTAAAGAAGGACCCTCTTGAGGAGCCATTCAAAACCATCACTTTACCCTACATTGCGAGGATCACAAAAAAGATCTCCAAAATCTTGAATAAACGCAAGATCCAGGTCCGATTCAACACATTGCATAAAATCCGTGATCTGGTTCCGTCTGTAAAAGATGTGATTCCGGACATACAGTACCCTGGCATCTACAAACTAAGTTGCGTCTTTGGTAATAGTTACATTGGATAAACCAAACGCCATGTCTCGGACCGCATTCGTGAACACAAAGCAGACCTAAAACACGGTAGGACCAACACCTCGGCCGTGGCAGATCACTGTTATAATTCAGTAGGCTCACATGACATTGACTTCTCGAAGACAGAGGTTCTCTGCAAGCCATCTGGCTACCATGAGTGATTCGTTCATGAGGCTATCCACATATACAAACACAGAGACAATTTCAACAGAGAAGATGGATTCTGGATTAGCAATCATTGGAAGGATTTGATAAACCATTTCGGGTCTAAATTGATTGTTTACGCTTACGGTGGCTTTCAGACCGCATCCATTCTTTTCGTCTCCCCCCTCCTCTTTTCCGAACATAGATGGACTCGTCCATCTGAATTACTGCCAAATCGCTCTCCGTGGTGCTAACGTTAAAAAAAACGCCACTTTTTTCAAAATTTCTTGCTGTAGTTTTCACATCTGATGATGATTGCTTGTGTTGCAGTCGATACGTCGTTAGAATTTTATTGTTTTATATTTTTATTATTGTATTGTTTCCCTTCTACATGAATTTACCGAAAGAACCAAGAATATAAGCTCCAGAGATATTTAATGCTTCTTCTTTACGTCGCTCCCTCTTGGTCTGCCAAGCAGTGTGTATTTTCTCCTCGCCTCTCATGAGGCCTGTTTTCACAGCCTGTTGCCAGCTGAGCCGTTCCCCGGCAGTTTTCTCCCAGTCATTTGGGTTGATGTCGCAGTTCTTCATGTCCCGTTTACAAACATCTTTTGAAGCGCAGGACTGGGCAACCAGTGGCCCGTATGCCTGATGCCAGCTCACCGTACAATACATCCTTGGGTATTCTGCCATCCTGCATGCGGCACACGTGTCCAAGCCATCTCAGGCGCCTATGACTGAGTAGAGAGTACATGCTGGGAATGTTGGCCAAGTTGAGGACTGAGGTGTTGGGAATGTGATCTTGCCATCTGATACCGAGGATGCACCTGAGACATCGGAGGGGGAATGTGTTTAGCTGATGTTCTTGATGGGCGTATGTTGCCCAGGACTCAGACCCATAGAGGAGGGTGCTATGGACGCAGGCCCGGTGCACCTGTACTTTGGTGTTGAGCGTTAGGGATTTGTTCCCCCACACTCTTTTGGTCAACTTGAACATAGCTGTAGACGCCTTCCCAATGCGCTTGTCAATCTCTGTGACAAGGGACAAATTGCAGGTGATGGTGGAACTCAAGTAAGTGAAATCCTGAATGGCTTCCAGGGTGTAGCTGCCAATGTTTATGGAAGGGGTGTCTCGGACATCCTGGCCTATGACATTGGTCTTTTTCAGACTGATTGTCAGGCCAAAGTTGTTGCAGGCATTGGCAAGGTGGTCGATGAATGTCTGCAGACCTTGTTCTGTGTGAGCTGTCAGCGCGCATCATCAGCGAATAGGAGTTATCTGATGAGGACTTTGCGGACTTTGGTTTTGGATCTGAGACGGCCAAGGTTGAAGAGTTTGCCATCAGGTCTTGTATGGAGAAAGACTCCCTCTTCTGCTTTCCCAAAGGCATGTGTGAGCATAAGTGAGAAAAATATGCCAAACAGTGTTGGGGCAAGCACGCACCCCTGCTTTACACCGCTGAGTATGGGACATTCCTCTGAGGTGGTGCCGTTGTGCTGTATTGTTCCTTTCATGTTGTCATGGAAAGTGGAGATAATTGCCAGCAGCTGGCAATTCCTCACCAACTTTGGTGAGGCATTGCCTTACCAACACTTACTTCACATGGAATGGTACATTCTACAAACAAAATGAGGGTACCCCAATGAGTTCTGCCTTATCGCCAGTGGTAGCAAATGTTTTCATGGAGAAATTTGAGACAGATGCCATCCAGACATCCACCCTACGTCCTTCCTTGTGGAAGAGATACGTAGATGACACGTTCGTCATCTGGCCACATGGCCTGCCAGCACTGAACCAATTTCTCAACCACATCAATTCCATACACTCATCCATCAAATTCACCATGGAAGTGGAAAATGATAGCAAGCTACCATTCCTGGATGTTTTGATCGAGAAGAGACCTGATGGCTCGTTGGGACACTGTCTACAGGAAAGCCACCCACA